ACAACAACAACAACAACAACACACCCAGAACCAAAACCAAAACCAAAATGAAAACCACACCGACCACACAAGAGCCACAACTACGACCACTACTCGTACGGCGATCACGACCACGACGCAATCAGAACTCCAATCAAACAACCAATCAACAAACAAACAAGCAACCAAACAAACAAGCAAGCTAGCAAACAAACAAACAAACAAACAAAAGCGAGCTAAGCGAGCAGATAGCAACAAGCAGCAAAACAACAACGAACTACAAATCACAACGACGCCGCAAACAACGCTGTCAGAGTCAGCAATTATAACAACGACAACGACGACAGAAATGGCGACAGTAGTGGAAGCACTAGCAGCACCGGCACGTGCATGAAGAAGCCAGTGCACGGAAGTTCTGTCGGTGAAGTAAGTCGCAAACCAACAGCATTGCCCAGGACCGACTGTTCGTAGCTTCCAACACCTGTGCGGATCAATTGATGACACGCCTCACGCGGTCTACAAGACGAAAGCATACTGTAAGACATCCACGCGATGCCGTGGGTAGCTGAGGTCGGCACTGGCAATGCTATCGCAATGCCTTCTGGGATGTTGTGCACCGCGATTGCGGCCATGACCTAATCAATCTGAGATGAAGCGTCACACGCACCCTGCAAAATGGCCTCTTACGCACAACATGTCAGCAGCATCAGGTTGCATAAGCCTCGTCTTCCACTGAGCCCTGCACGACGACCCCCAAGTGTGCACTCTGTAGCGATGAAACCTAAAAAGCCCAGAACGACAAGGACTAACACAAGTCTTGTCGAGGCCCCGCCGAAAGATAAGATGCTGGCTCCAACAGCCAATCCTTCCGGAAAGTTATGAGCTGTCAATGCCAACCTGGTGATGCACGCCCCTGTGCCGCGCCACTTCAAGAAGTACCCAAATTCCGAGGCAACTACATCATGAGGAAAGCAAGTCTGAATTGCCTGGCACAGCAAAAGCTCGACGATACTCACCGCGATGTGGCCAACATGGCTTCTTGCTTTGCCTTGCTTTGGGCTCGACACCAACCTCACTGACCTGCGGCATGAGACCAACAGCAGGTGAAGGAATGAAGCAAGGGTGGGCGGCTCAAGTTGAAACTCAAACAAGACGCCGACAAGATGCAGCAAGTGGCAGTCTGCAGAAGCGCTGCATCGTTGCGTAGCTGCGCAGCGGTAGCATGCGCCAGATCTATCTCAGGCCACGACGTGACCTTTCTCCGGATCGTCTCGCCGCTCCTGCAGCCACTGGGCCACTCTTTTCGAGCGAGCTAGGAGAAACAAGTCCCGAGCAAGGTCCACTACCGCCAAGAAACATCCGAAACACGTAAGCAGAGTCTTGCAGCCTCATCCTTTTTGCCACATCCCATGTCAGGCTCCGGCACGAGTTTCCTGCGACTCAGGACCAGTCTTAGAAATCGAGTGCAAGAATCAAGTGCTCTTGGCCTGAGCAGAAGGAAACTAAGAAAACCGAAGATGCCGGAAGCGCACGCCTGCCCAGGTCAGTCTTGAATTTTCAGAGGTCCACCAGACTCCACCCCACTTGCCTGGAAACGATTTTCGGCCTGGACGAAAGGTGGAATGAAAAGCTCCACCTCAGCACAGGGTTTATTGCTCTGGCAGTGCTGGCAAAGGTCGTCCAGGCCCGCAACAAAGGAGACGGTAAGCATTACCTGCCATAGCAAGACCACCAGCGGCATGAAGCAGTCTCACCACAAGCGAAGGATGAGTGAAATTTACTCTTACGCTATGGCTAAGGCAAGCCGGCAAAGCGCCAGCAGCAAGGGCCAAAGCAAAGGCCTGGCAGCGGAAACTGGCCCGAGGACGAGGCTGAGATCCTCAAAGGAGTTGCCCGACCATTTGGCTTGCAGTCGGCGAACTTCGCAGCAACAAGACCTTGCTCTTTGCCACTTGGGAAGTCCCAGAGAGAACAAGCATTTCCATCGAGGCACGATTCCGGCGCCCAGAGACGTAGACAAACCAGCTACCTTTGGGAAACATTGGATGCGATCAACTGAACTTGTCTGCAGCATGTTTCGCGACGGAATTTCACCAAGCAAGCCGAGTTTGACACTAGCGACCTCATGATGGCAGTCGCCTTGTGCGCCTCCAAATCAGCCTGAAATCCAAAGCTGCCAGCCGATCTCACGACGAAGAGGTTCTCAGATCTCGGCAGTTCGATCTTCGCGAGCTTCGGGAAGGTCAGGAAGGGCTGGAAGGGCCGAGGCCGAGCCTTCGAAGGAGAACAGCAAAAAGCGCGCACTTCGCTTTCGCAGAGCAGAGTACGGGGCCCGTCAAATGCTTAGCTAAGAGTGGGTAAACCATCTCATCTTCTCCTTGAGTCGGCAAGGCACAAGCTTGGGTCACTGCTTGGCATGCATCACACAACACTCCTGCATACTGCGGAGGGCTGCTCAACTCAGGCACCTGGCCGAGTCACGAGGCACAGTGTGGCTGAGTATGGCATACAGTATGGCCCAAGAGAAAGAAACATTGGTGCTCCGAACAATTCCAACAGCCTGGCGCAACGTCTACGACATTGATATCTCAGCCTACCTACAAGCGCCAAGAGCAGCAGCCGCGCAACCCATCGTGAGCAGGTGGGCTGGGCCATGCGGGTGACAGTGTGAAATCGCCCACAATCAAGCTGTTCTGCATTCTAACACCCCGTGTCTTTTCGACATGCCGACATGCCACAGTTGCCATCGGCAGACAGGGAGTTGAAGTGTTGAAGTCTATGAGATTCACGAAGGACTTGCAAGTTGACCATGTTTGACCGGGTTTCTGCAGGTGTGCTTGTTTCCCTGCGCAGATGCCACTGCTGTTCTGTCATGAGAATTCGAAGTACCGAACAAGCAGCCGAATGGTCGCCACATGTCACCACAATGACCGCTTCACTTTGCACGATTCAATAGAGCACTCGTGACATAGTTGACGAAAACCAGGCTTTGCATTTATGGTCCTTGTTGTCCGCCATCTCCAAGCCGAAGGCATCGCGAAGGCGCATGACAAAACTCCGTTCCAAGGGCTAAGCTAGGAGACCAACGAGACATGACGGACACAAGCACCATGTGAAGCAGGAGCAACATGGGCTAGTCACTGCAGTTGCATCGCATCAAACGATTCGAGCGTGTGCAAGTTCCCACGCAGATGGCACAACTGACTGCAAGAGCCTCGCAAGCATGCCCAAGCAGTATCAAGCAGCACTATCACATCCCACTTCTTGGCGCAACTTGTGCACCCCAGTAGAAAGGGAAGAGCAGGCGCGAAAAAGCTGCCCACAACTTGGATCGGCATCCGTCACAAGCGCTGGCTCTCGAGTGTGCTGCAAGTGTTCGCAAACATCCCAGAGCTGGCGTATCACTATACTTCCAAGGCACATCCGCACCCTTTGCAGGTCAAATCGCGTCAGATTGGCCGCGGAGATCTCGTTCAGGTGCAAGGCGGAAACCCAAACCTCCGCGCATCGTCGAATGAGAACCCTGTGAGGAATCCGCGGCCCGTCTTGCGCTCACACTGACAAGTGAGGTTGCTGCAAGGCATTGGAAGATCATCGGCCGTTCGAGTCAAAGCGCGAGTGTCACCTTTCCAGTAAGTCAAACCAAAGGAGCCTGGACATCCAACGCATCCAACACATCATAACACATCCACCAAAAGACTCGCCACATCGGAGAAGTCCATCGGGTTAGTCAAGGACCATTGATTTATGTGTTCGGGTCTACGATATAGGTTATTTTGTGATTCTCATTGTGGTTCACATGAAATTTGGCTAGGTTTTTAAAAGGTTTCCAACTTCAAGGATATTTTCTCAATACTACGTATGTTGATTTTCTCGTTTCCGGGCTGTTTCGGGGGCTTAGGATACACGATGACTGGATTTACGAGAACATCCAACAAATCCAACACATCGACCAGGAGACAGGAAGGTCGTCGCCTCGGATTGTGCAGTCACAAGCATCCACTACAGACATACAGTAACAAGAACGGGAGGGCAGCTAACGGAGGGTCTCTGCCACTCGGCTCCTGCTGCATGGCTTCAGGGCCCTTGCCTACCGAACAAAAGAAAGTCTTGAACCTACAGTGGCCCCGAGGATCCTGCACAGATGTAAAGGCTGTGTCGACAACGACTTCGAAAGATGTGACGACATTGCTCAGGTTTCACACACTCCCCAACTCAACATGATGACTCAGACCCCCTCTAGACTGTGTGTCGCATTTCGCGAAACTTCGCATGCTGGCTGCACTTGCTGCTGCTGGATCTGCTGGACACCACATGCGTAGTCGCGGCTACAAAATGCTACAGAATCTGGGTTGGGGGGGTTCCAACTCAGGCTCGACTCCCTCATCCATGGGTATCTCACGAGCGCAGCATGACATTAACAATCAGACGCTGGACCGCATTATGAAGAACAAATGTTCGAGAAGCATGGCTGATAGTTGCAAACTACAAGCAGGTCAAAGGAAACTCGTGCACTTACCAGTATCCATGAGCTGACTTTGCTCGCGACTTCGTGGTCGCCATGAAGGTACAGGCAAAGCGGCTTCAGACTGGGGTGCCCACCAAGCTCCAGTGAGCTGGAGAAAGAATTGCCGCGGACGAATGGCCGATGGTGCTCAAGCTGCGAAGCACAAGGTGTGGCTGCTTGGGACTCTAGATGGCGTAAATTCCTGGTAAGAAGTCTTAGAAAGTCCATCTCGCACTAGATGGTGTCCATAGGACTACGACTTTGAATTAGATAATGGGTCAAGAAAGATGGGTTTTGCGGAACGTCTGCGCGGAGTTGCTGTGAGTCCTCCATGCGCTGCACAGGCCGGGACTCATCCCGACATATCCCGACTCAGCACACTTACTGACTTACTGCAAACGCCTTGTTCACTCGAAGCTCTGATGCTGCGGCGCTGGTGGCTTGAAGCCTGTCTTCTTCACCTTGGACCAAAGGAGGCTTGAGCCACAAGCCCTCAAGACATCAAGACACGGTCGTCGCAGCTTCATGACTAAAGTACTGAGGAACGCACTTTAACAGATCCACGCTTCCCCGGCTTGTGAACGACGGTGGGTTTCATCTCACGAAAACTTCGTGGCTCCAGCTTCAGGCTTGGTCCGCCGCTGGATGGGGACGACCCATGTCCATACAAGCTTGACTGCCTACTTGGCCTCATCTCGTCAAGCTTGCTGGTCGGTGCCAAATTTACCATTTTGAGTCTTTGCCGGTCAAACATTAAACTTCCGTGGCCCTCGCGCAACAAGTACACAAACTGTTGACAGGGACTCAGAGCTTTCACTTCGCAGTCCGCAATATCTCCGACCTCCATATCTGCAAATTCCTTCAAATCGTCCACATCCACGACTGCTCCGGTGATTGGCGCGTGGTTGATTTTAAAGTATGCGACTTCGGGCTTTCTTGAAGCCAACATTGCCTGCACTTTCACACCAGCACGGAGGGATGAGACGCCTTCAAGGGGAAGGTGTGAGCGGTTCATCTTCGCGTAGTCAACATTGTGAATGCTTCGACGCTGAATCAGAGTTCCAGCTGGGTCGCCTAGCTCTCTGTTCAGAGCTCTCTGTAATGGAAGCAGGTGGACGACGCTTTCAACGGCATGGCGAAGCAAGCTTGAACACAAAGGTCTTTCGTGCCACTGCATTGGAGGAATACTGTTGCGCTCTAATCGATCCCATCGATGGAGCTGGAAGGCATTCAAGTGGAAGGTGCGCAACACTTCTGACAGGCCAGCCTGGTAAGCATCAAGCCCCTGCCTCTCTAGCCATGCCGCAAAAGCTATCTGAGTGTCGTACACACCGTGCAGCTGAGTGCTGTATTGGTTTGCCAAAACAGATGACAATTCTCGGCAGTCGTGTGCGACTTTGACGATGCCGGTGTGGAGCAATAAAGCTTGCAGCGGCTCGAGGATGTCTCGTCCACGGGCCTCAACATCCACAATAAATACCTCCCTGTCAGTCGCAAGTTGCAGTGTCGAAAGCTTTCCAAATCGCCCCAGCCTGGCTCCTTTACAATCAAGGGCAACACATGGCGACTGCAGGACTCTATCAGTCGCTGTCTTGCATTGATCGATGCTGCTGACCAATCGGACCGGCAGCCTTCGCAGGCCCAAGTCCTAAGAGGGCTCATGCCAAGTCCGGCACTGTCGGACAGAGCTGGCAACATTCTGGAAGTGTCGGAATCACTACTTTACAACCATATACCATGACTAGTATAATGTCCTGTGACACGACATGCAACTATCGAGGCAGAAAATCTAAAGGCATAAGTCTTGGTCTCCTTCTCTGTCGACAACGAAGGTCTGAGGCCAGAACCTGTGCAGCCCCATTCTCTGGGATCTCCGCCTTCGCACGGCCAAGCCAGTCCTGTATAGCTTGACTGTAGCTCGAGGGCCACTGCGAGCGAGTCGTCCTCGACCGCCTCAGGCAACGGGCAACGTCGAGTGCACCCTCTTTACTGCAACGACACGGACAGGAAACTGAATAAAACACTTGCCAGACCATTTCATCAGCTTCCAGCTCAAGCTGTCACACTGGGAGCCCAGGCCTGCTCTGCCTTAACCTGGCTCGGAGCGCGCCTGTCCCTAAGGCCGGCACGGACGATGTTGCAGCTTGCCCCAGCTTGCCCTTCGGCCGCCCATGCCATGGCACAAAGTGGTGAGCATAGTGCAGCATAGCAGAACATAACACATGTGCAGTGCAAGGCTGTCAGCACTGCTTTGTGGACCAAGTCTTTCAGGATGTCTACTCCATACGCCTAGGTGTTCTGTCTTCTGGTCGTTTGAAGGACTGAGAATCCGAACGTCCGATTTCATCATCAGAAAGAAGCTGTGCTTGCGCCCTAGGCTCGCAGGGGCTCAATCACACTTCAATTTCTGCACAGGCTCCGTGCGAGAGATAGACGTGAAGCTCGGGACGCTCCTTGCGCAGAAGCTTCGTCCCAGAAGCCCACTCAAACAACCCGATCGTCGGCCATGGCCGACAATCAGAGTTTCACGCCGGATGGACTCACAGTACCGCTAGCTTGAAGTCCTGGCAGCTCGCTCTAATGGAAGGCAGACGTGCGCCTTCCAAGTTTCAAACGGCAACACCGGGTTGAGCAGTGGTTGGGCCCTCGCTCTCCAAAGGAAGAAGAAGCAACCAAAGCAAGCTCACAACAATCAGAAAGCAACCCCTGACTGTTGCGGTGTCATGCACATGTTTCTCGTATTTTGGAGCGTGCGCGGTGGATCACGTGCGATCACACGACTCAACTTTAATGGTGTATGAGAAAGAGACAGAGAAAAAGATAGAAAGAGAGAGGAGCATGCAGCCGAAGAAATGTTGCCTCCAGGATTTTCGTTTGGGGGGTCTGGGTTTCACAAATACTCTAGGGCCTAAAGCTACAGGCCCTTGAAGCTTTGGATTTAGTTTGGGCAGGCTCTTGGAAACAGGCTCTGCTGGCACGCCTGTACAAGACCAAAGCTATGCTAAGGTATGGCAGTCACAGAATTTCAGTCGAGTGTAAGGTTTGAGGTTTCGGTTTCACTTAGGAGGTTTGCGGCTCCGGGTCTGGAGGTGAGGGCTTGTTCTGGACCACGGCGAGATCTTTGCGGACCGTCTGGTGTTGTCCCTCTTGTTGCTTTCTTTCCTATGCTGGCTTGCTTGGTCTTGCGCCTTCTTGTGCTAATGCTCCCGTCCTCGACTTGGAGGGCACCAGCTCCCAGCGACAGAGATCGGGCCTCTGCCTCCCAAGGATAGCTCGCTTGCTCACGTCTCACTTCTCTCGCAACCCCTATGCATTTTTGCATCGCAATCGAGACGATCCCAACCTACCCATGAATGCATCCAGCCATTCCGATACACAGACTGCCCGACGACATAACTAGCACTCTCTACAGAACTACATTGCACATTCGGGGGAACTGGCAAGTAAAGCTTGAATGTGACTAGGCACAAAAACAAAGACTTGAAAACAAGCTGAAGGCGTTCCAGGCTTGGCCGTCGGATCAGACCGAGCGCGAAGCTTAAGCATCCGACATTCGCCGCAAGCATCGACAGATGCCCACTGACGATCAAGGCCAATGCGGTCACTTTGACCCTCTGGCTCGCCCTTACCGGTATAACTTAAGAATCAACTCAAAAAATAACAATAACTCTAAGTTAAGAGTCTTGCATAAAACGGTTTAGGTTCCCTCTAAGGGTTCCTCTCAAGGCTCGAGATGGGATTCTAATTATTCGTTCTCGAAAAAATGCCAATTAGATTATAAATCATAATCCATCAGTATAATGAAGTATAATGTAATCTAATGCCACGATTACCAAGAAATTATAGCCTTTACAATTACGAGGTATAATGCACCACTCCATAATATTCGTTTCGAAGTGCCTATTATTCGACCATATATTATACCGTTCATTCGCTCTCACAATGAAGGTATGGAGAGTGGAGAGTGGAGAGTCGAGGGACGACCGAGACCCAAAGGTTTGGCCTGTTAGGCAGTGGCATCACCTCCGGCCCGAAGCGCTTAAGGATCAAACCACTGAGAAAACTTTGCCCGACAGAGCTTCCATCAGCTCATTGCCGCTTGGTAACGGCGCACGCCAGGCGCGAACCGGTGTCCATCCCGACAGACCATCAGCTCACTGCCACTTGTGTAGCCGCGCACTCCTGGCGCGAAGCAGGATCCGTCCCGACAGTTGTTCTATCAGCTCATGTCGCGTGTACCCGCGCATACGACACGCGAACGGGATCAATCCGGACTGCTGCGCATTGACACTTGCGCAACCGCGCACTCCACGCCCCGAACCAGGATCCATCCCGATAGCTGTTCCATCAGCTCATGTCAAGTGTAGAACCGCGATCACCCGGCGCGAACCAGGAACCCTCCCGCAAGTGGAAACCGTCCCAGGCCCTGCTGAGTGCCGCCCCCTGGAGTCGGCGAAGGGGAAAAACACCACAGCAGGGTCAGGGGATAGCGTATATTAGACATAATAATGTGCTAGCCCCCGTCGGGAAAGAGTGAAGGCGGCGGGAGTAACGTTGTGATTGTTCGTTCAGGTTTGAGATAGCCTACCTGCCCTTCTGCAACTGGTGCCACCCACGATACATCCCGGCCTCGAGCCATTCGGACACTGGCAGTGCTTTCTCCTTCTCGCCGGTCTGGCATGCCATGGCAAGCCACGAGTAACGAGTTCTTCGTGTGCAATATCCCTGCCTGCGGCGCTACGAGTTCTTGACCTCAGAAGGCGGCCCGCTGGCCACTAGATCCGCGACTCGAATCTGGCAAAGAACCAGCTCCACATGACAACCCAAGAGCCACACATGCCAACACCTTGCATGTGGTAGTCCGGGCTGCTACGATGTGACACTGGAATGTATTCGGGCATCTCAGGACAGCACAGACTCTTGATAGAACTTGGCAGTTTTACCATCGAGAACCTTTTGTATCACCTGACAGCAGCGATCCACACACACACACAGAAAGCACAGACAGAGAGAGAGAGAGCGAGGCACATGCACGCACCACGGCTTTCATTGCGAGGCCAGGCCTCGTCGTTAGCAAGACCCGCTTTCCTCCCGAGCATCACGTCGCGAATTGAAGCCGTGGGCGAACATCGGTGGACATGCTATCATCAAAATCGCGACCAACAAAGACCAAAACCATGAAGCGAGAAGAGCAACTGACACTTCTTCCATCGGAAGCATAGAGCAAACAAAGCCATTCCCGACTCCCAGAACCGAAAAGCAGAGACCCTGAGGGGACTCCGGTATCTCTTCTGGGTTTGATCAACTTCAGGCACTCTGGATTCTGTATATTTCTGAAATGTACTTTCCATCAGTTGGGCAACATGCCTGTCCTCGGTCCCAGCTGTTCCAAGTAAGCTGCTTTGAAAACCTCGCGCTCTTTCCGCAAAGTCTCGGCCTGAATTGATCACAGACTGATGCTGTGCGAGGACTCCGGGCAATCCTCTTGCCGCAAGATCACCGCTTCACGAAGTGTAGTCTACAACTGACAGGCCAGGGTTGTCTACGAGTACGGCAGCGCGCTGCATTTCTCTGGCAGTCTGCAGTGTGCGGGAGAGCATGTGTGCCCCATCCCGACAATTTACATGTGTTGCATCAGTGCGAATCGAAAGGAGACGAGACTACACATGCTTCTGGGACAGCTGAATATCTCACGCACCATTTGGTAGAAGTGCACCCTCTTTGAATGCATCTTCGCTTGCCATGAGAGCCCCGTGCTGCAGATCTTCAACTTACAATATTTGTTTTTGACTAGGGCGTGCGACCAAAGTTTGACAGTAGCGTGCCATTATGGCAACGCTGGGGCTTGCACTGTGACAAGGGAGCCAAGGGGGGGGGGAGCATGGGGGTCTGACACTCTCACTGATCCGGAGACCATTGCCTCCCAAGTAGAAGTGGTAAATGCATACCCAGGAAGGGACGGGACATGCACCTCGTGTCAAACAAACGATAAGAAACACAGGTTCACGGTTCATGTCGTGGGGGACGTGCACGAGTGGCGATCCGGAATTGAAAGCAGAGCACGAAATACCGGATCACCAAGCAAGTTCAAAACAAACAACGTCCTGACCAACTTCCTCCGAGAATCTCATGCAGTGGGTCCAAGGCTCTGAGTCGAATGGGTCGGATTCCTGAATAATATCTAAACAAAAACATGCATTGTGTCCGTTAACCACATGTTTCCGGGCGAGCGACGAAAAAGAAGCTCGTGTCAAAATCCGACTGTATTCCTTGTGTGCACCATGATGCATAGATGCAAAGTGTCACGGCACGGTGAAGGTCCTGTTCAGCAGGCACTTTACTGTTCATCATGTTGATGAAGTGGGCAACAGTTTGCAGCGATCAGCGAAGGTGGTACCTGCAGTTCCGGGTTTGCCAGTATGAGTTCGGTGTTTGGCGGAACTTTCGGGTGACCGAATCTGTTTGTTTGTCTTAACCGCGCGTGTTTCTCCTGTCGTTTCAGGGCTTCGGGCTTAGGGTGTAGGGATGTGGGTGCTCAGGGTTTGGAGTTGAGAGGCTTGCGGGTTGGGTTTGTGGATTAAGTTTTGGGAGTGTCGTGCTTAGCGTTTCCGGTTTGATCTTTAGGATATTTTTGGGCTATAGGCTTCGGGGCTTTGGAATTCGGGCTTGCCGCGTGTCTGTTTTAGCCTGTGGTTGTAAACTGTAGATTTGCAATGGCACCGGGACAACTACCCAGACACAGTTCACTCCAACAACAAGACACAGATGCCGCCAAGCAAGACAAAAACAGGCGAATGCTTGAGCCCCCGGCCGGCACACTGCCGACGTGTAGGAATCGTGGCTGCGCAGCCACGACATGGCGCGCCTCATGGCACATGTTGTTTTAACGGGGAATTTGTGTGGGCTCAAAAATCTCTGTGGCGCGAACCAACCGCGAAGCGATTCGGTGCAAGGCACCAGAATCGCACCTCCCGATTTGGAGAAGCCCGTGAAACGTCTGATATCAAGCATATTCAAGCATCGCTGAGTGGGATCATGTGGACAGCTCGGCGAGGGTGCTTGGTTCTCTTTCTCTCTCTACCAAGTGGGGAACCCGGGGAGCGCCCCGCCCCGAGTTCGCACCCGCAACTCGTGGGTGTCTTCTTGGTCCCCCCGAGGTTTTGCCGTCGGGGGCTCGGTATTGCCCCAAGCTCGGATCAAAATGCTGCTTCGCCCGCCCTTCATGGAATTTCTGCTCAGGAGGTGCAGTTCACTCAGAAATGGCTGGTTCCCCCGATTAGGCCCAACAGTGGGGTTGGGGATGCAGCAGGAACTGCAGGTTGTGGTTTGTAATCTTCAGGCTGACTTCAGGCTCCACGCCTGTCCCGGCTTCGGGTCCCGGACTCGCGTTCAACTCGGCACTTCAGCCTGGCTGTCAGTCGGGCTTTTCGGTTTCCTGCTCGTTGGCGGTAGTAGAGCTCGTGCTTCAGGTGCGGGGCTGTGTTCGGCACGCCGTTCTCGGTGTCCCCGGTTTTTGCATCCTCGGTGGTAGTCCCCGATCGCGTGCTTCCCGTTGGTCGTGTACTCGGTGCTTTCGAGGACGTAGACGGTGCGGGGTTGGCCCCGGAGTTGCCTTGCTTCCGCAGAAAGCCCAGGGCCTCCCCCTGTTCATGGCAGTTTGACCATGGAAAACACATTGAGGGTCCCCTCTTTGTGGCCGCCGTGGTAGCGAGGACCCGCTTTGCATCGCAAGCAAACTTCTTGGGCTTGTCCTCGTTGGTGCGGCGCCTTCTGCTCGGCGTGGGCATGAGAGCCTCCCGGGTCTGCTCCTGACTCCTTACTAGAGGGGCTGGCTTCGAGCCAAAACGCAGCCTTTGACAACAGTCTGCTAACTCGGAAGGTGCGTAAGTGTCCCCGTTTGGCGCTCCACCTGTGCTACCTGCTATCTGGTCTACTGAAACTCCTAGCTTATCCCTCCTCACAGATTGCTCCTGGATTTGGCTAAGGGCTCCTTGCAGCTGCTTGGAGACCCTGTACTCCGCGTCCTCGATCTGCTGGTTCGCCTTGTGGAGAACTCCCCGATTTTGCCGCGGGTCTCCTTGCTAAGTTGGTGCTGTTGCTGCGCGAAACCTTGGCGGAGCTCCCTGTTCACGGCCTCGACAATGGCCTCCATGGTCAGCGGTATCTCCATTTGAAGGTGGGGCCGGGGCTGATGCGTAGGTAGCGCATCGGGCCCCCCGGTCATAGGCATGGAATGCATTCTTGATGAGGTCGTCGTAGTATCACGATCTTGACCTTGTGGTTCTAAGTCTCCCCGCGGTCTTGGGGCGGATCGAACTTTAGGAGCGGGCAGTGCACAGGCTCGCCGTATGCGGTCAGGTAGCTGGTCCGAGTGTCCCCCACTCGCCTTGGAGAGCTGCAGTTGCCGGTGTGCCTTGGACTCACCGAAATCACTGGACAGGGCCCAAGAGATGCAGCGAACTAGCCCTCGGGCTCCATGGCTCACTAAGCGGACGGGTCTCTCGCGGCTTCTGGTAGCAATCCAAGGCACACACAATAGTGCCAAAGCGCAAGCAGCTGAAAGACACGACCTGTCCTTTTGCTGCGAGGCGAAGTCAAGGCCTTCACGGCATGTGCTCGTAGCATAGCAATCTCAACGAAAAACTTGGCAAAAGGGTTCCCTTGAACCAC